TTTCAAAATGGAAAAATGGCTAGAATTTACTAAGCGGAAAAATGATGATTCCCAGGTGATGGATCCAAAACAATCTACTAACACTAAGAATACTGAAAAGAAACGAAAAATTGTTTGTAGAAAATATAATGAAAGTTATTTAGCATTAGGGTTTACTTTTAATGTAGAAGTAGACCCTCAACCTCAATGTGTCGTTTGAGGTGAACTATTATCCAATTAAAATATGAAACCATCGTTTCTTAAACGACGTCTTGAATCTAAGCATTCAAATTTAAAGGATAAATCTGAAGGGTATGTGAAGAGGAAATTATCGGAGTTCAAATATAGTAAACAAGTAATGAAAGATTTTGTTACTTCAAGTGAAAAAGCTTTGGAAGTTAGTTACCTAGTAAGCCTAAAAATTACCAAGACTAGGGAGGCTCACGCTATTGGAAAAAACCTTATTAAACAGCAGCTAAAGATATCATTTTAACATTATCCAACGAAAAAGCGGCTAATGAACTTTATAATATTTTGTTATTAAATGATACAGTTATCAGGTTCAATGTTTCTTCTAACCTTCTTCGGAAACATACAATGACCTGACTAGAACAGAGAGCTTACTAAAGCTATGTTCACTAATTGTAGTAAGTAGACAGGATACAGACGAAGGGTATACAAAACCCTTTATTTTTTTCTTTATATACAATGACTTCCGTACTTCGGAATACAATGACCCTCCACTCGGGGTCTAACTTAAAAGATATCAAAATAAAACTAAACTCTAATTTAACTTTAGAATAAGATTGGCCTTATAATAACAGAAAGCGTATGTAGCACAGAGACTGTGAACACTACAATACGTTTAATTTATCAAGAGGATTAAAACCTCTGGCCTGGAAGGCAAAGTAGCAACTGCGTAACTTCTAAGGTAAGCGGCCTGCTTCGAACTCACGGCTTCCTCTCTTCTGCTTGGCAAAAAGGCCACACTTAAATACTTGGCGTTCGCCAGACAACTTTGCATAAACTCCTTCACGCTTATAATTCTGGCCGGAAGTAGAAAATAAGAAGTGATAGTAAAGATTTAAAATAAAATAAACGTTAGTAAAACTTAAGATCCTTACATACTTCCCGCCAGAGTTAATTAGTTTGAAACTGAGGTCTAAAACGACCTTGTTGAAAACTTTAGCTCTAGAAACTAACGCGAGGCCAAACTTTTACAAACATAACTTAGCTAGAAACTAGAAAATTTTAAAAGAAAGAAATTTGTTACAATAGCAGCTCCCGGAATATACAACAATCTTTTTTCTTTTTCATCTGTACTGCATCTAAAACAGGAGCTTTATTCAATTCTGGTTCCTTCCAGAGATCTGGAAGGAAAACTAGTTTAATGAAATGTTACAGAATGACATTGCAAATAACATATAGAATATACTTTCTTAACATTCTTATTTCATTCATGACTATTTTAATTATCTCTCCCCGTGCTCTCTGACATGTGTTGTAAAAACACCAAACACGAATGTGTTTCTGTCTATGTGTTCAACACTTCCTCCTACAATCAAAACACTAACGTGTTAAAATTCAACATACGAGACCTCTTAACACACCCCTAATTTCAACTCTAAACCCTGAGGTACTATTCTGAAAGTGGCTAACTCTAAAGTGTAGCGTCAGAGAGCCTAACTACATCATTCAACCTTTAACACATATTCACCATGATTTAATCTTTACAGTCACACGAATAACAAATTTTTTAACATTACTTTCACTTTTACCATATCACGGTATTTCTAAACATTCAAAATAACAGTTCACATTGTATACAAAGAACATATCAACATGCCGTTAATTTTACACATTTGAAAACATACATTAGTAGTACATTGTTAACTTCTATTCTTTTCAAAGCAAGTGCCAATTCTTTCTACATTGAAATAATACTACATTTCAAAAAGTCTTTCAGACTAAAACTTCTTTCTTGTTAGAATGTTTTAAATAAAATTTATACAATAACTTTTTACAATATTTAAGTCTTTATACAACGCTATTATACATCAACTTTAGTTTTACGCGCGAGTAATTGAAAAACATAATAAGAAAATCGGTCACAACTCATTTCTCGCCCTTTTGGCGATAAAGGTAGACCTCGCATGAGGTAAAACTTCTTGAAATCTGCCACTTGCAGTAAGAATGAAAGATTAACTTAAGTTTGTAAAGTAACATAAAATTTTACTTATCTTTGTAATATTCAGGACATCCTTTTCTGGGCCCAGTCTTTAAAGGTGCTGCAGACCGTAGCTTGGTTGATCCTCCTTCTTGTACGGGCTCGCCCTTCAGTGCTTTCCTCTGGAAGCTTCCGTTTTTCACCACTACGGCCACCCTTGAACATCTTCCTTCTGTCCTCTGCTTGTGGTCTTGGCCGTTTGAAGGCAGCTGGTCTTGGTGGAACCGGGAAACTTCTGTCGTGATCCTGCTTGGACCTCGTTGTTGGCCGTTCAAATTTTTCTTGTACTTTTTCCTCCGCCGCTGATGGCCCTTCCGCAGTTCGGCGACTTTTGCTGCGGAGAGTTCTGTCGGATGAGTCAATCTTCCGTTTCACAGCCGGGTTATAGTTGCCGTCCTTTCTCCCGGTCTTTTCCACATACGTCGTCCTTCTCCCTTCTTCATTCTGGGGGTGTTCGTGAACTCTGTTTTTTGGCCGTGGAACGGGCTTCTTTTTCTTTGTACCTTCAATTTTTCCGCGGGGCAATTTTCTTTTCACTTGCTTCTGTCTCTCATTGGCTTGCCCTTGTACTTGTCGTTTTCCCACCTCTGGAACTTGTACCTGCGGTGTCTGCCGTACCGGATCCTGCAAAAGATCACTTGTCGGATTCTATCTTGCTCGTCATTAGGCAGGTGGTCGAGATTTACCCTTGGCGGTTCAACCTTTTCTACACGCACTGGTTTCATCGTCAGCTTAAGAGACGCTTCATTAAAATCCAGTGTAGCTTGTGCGTCTGAAAGAAAGTCTATTCCTAGTATTAAGTGTGCTTGCAAATTCTTTACTATAAAAAACATCACCTTTACTTGTTCGTCCTTGATACGGATGTACAAAGGTACTTTACCTACGCACTTACATTGTTCTCCTTGCGCCGCTAATACTGTTGTATTATCCGCATTATATATGCGGTATTTGCGAAAATACTTTCTAAAAAAGACTTCTGCCACACAGGAACACTGCGCGCCGGTATCCAGGAGTGCGGTGGCCGGGATATTATTTACCAAGACTTCAATCTTCGGAAGAGTTAAATTTTTCACCATTACTGTATTTAACTTGTAGGAAGAGGGGTTTTCGTGGCCTTCGGATTTCCGCACCCTCTCGTCAGCAGAAATCCGTTTTAGTTTAAATTATTTTTCCTTCGGTGCTTTCCTTCTTTCTTCCACTGGCCTTGAGACTTTTTTCCTGGGTTGCTATTGAACTGTCGACGTTCGCCGGCTGTTTTTGAATGCTCGGGTTTCCTTGCCCACTGATTCGCTTTTTCTCCGTAGCCATGTGCTTGAGTTTGCTGTAGTCTTGGCGTACCAAATTGGTTTCGCTGTTGATATTGGCGTCTTCTTTCGACGTCCGCCGTTTCTTCTACTTTCAAACTGGATTGCTAGCTCAAATAATTTTTTCCAGTGTAGTCGGATTTCTTAATTCAATAAAGTCTTGCACTTGGGGTAGTAACCTCGGCAAAATCACTTGAATTATTTCAGGATCCGGACGGTTTCCATACAAGAGCTTTTGAAACGTGAATTTTTCTTAAAATAAAACTCGACATGGTTTTCCATTCTTTGTTGATATATACTGAAAAGTTCTGTTTCTAATTTCGCACGATCCCTTACAACAGGGAAGGCTTTTAGTAGGGCAGTCTTGAAATTTTCGTAGGTATAGGTGGGACTTCCTGCTTGACCCAAGAGACTTCTGCCGATACATTTGAACCAGTTAAGCGCTTGGCCCCTCAAAGCGCTGGTAGCTAAGGTAACTTTTTGAAACTCGTGCACGGGGTAGAGCATGAAGTGGTCATCCAATTTTTCCAAAAAACTGGTTACCGGTGAGTTTCCATTAAACGTTGCTTCTGGTTTCATCGAAGCGCGCATGGTCTGGACAATATACCCAAATCCTTCCAGGGCGGCAGCTGGCATTTCTGGATTCTGAGCTGTTTCTGCAGGCAGCACAGGTTCTTCTTGAAACTCGGCCATGGTTATTCTTCGTCGGGCGCCACTATCAGGTTCAATGTTCTTCTAACCTTTCTTCGGAAACATACAACGACCTGACTAGAACAGAGAGCTTACTAAAGCTATGTTCACTAATTGTAGTAAGTAGACAGGATACAGACGAAGGGTATACAAAACCCTTTATTTTTTTCTTTATAACAATTTACTTCCGTACTTCGGAATACAATGACCCTCCACTCGGGGTCTAACTTAAAAGATATCAAAATAAAACTAAACTCTAATTTAACTTTAGAATAAGATTGGCCTTATAATAACAGAAAGCGTATGTAGCACAGAGACTGTGAACACTACAATACGTTTAATTTATCAAGAGGATTAAAACCTCTGGCCTGGAAGGCAAAGTAGCAACTGCGTAACTTCTAAGGTAAGCGGCCTGCTTCGAACTCACGGCTTCCTCTCTTCTGCTTGGCAAAAAGGCCACACTTAAATACTTGGCGTTCGCCAGACAACTTTGCATAAACTCCTTCACGCTTATAATTCTGGCCGGAAGTAGAAAATAAGAAGTGATAGTAAAGATTTAAAATAAAATAAACGTTAGTAAAACTTAAGATCCTTACACAGTAAGTCGACGGATTCATGAAATGGCAAATTCCATGGAGACACTAATTCAAAAAATAAAACACAGTGAGCACTTCGCATTGAATATTGGATGAAAGTACAGTAGAGTTCCGCAAACTCAACATAATGTGAACTGAGAGACTGTCGAGTTTCCGAAAGTCAAGTTTTACGGAATAAGGGGTGGGGTTTTTCAGAACTCTTAATTACTCTACCCATTTGTAGCACAATACTGGACACGGAAAAGTACAGCATATAATAAAATTTTGTCTCTCACACTCATTCCGTCGTCGTGCAGCTTCATCAGCACTAGCAGTAAATCCAGGCTCTCCTTGAAATTCATCATAAAATTTTAGGGCTTGTTCTTGTAAAACAGGTCCTGAAATCGGTGTTCCCTGTTTTCTTTGCTGCCTGAACCACAAATAAAGCGCCTCGCTCACTTTTTCGTATTCATCACCTTTCATATTTTTTCTTTCCTTTAAACTATCCGTATATGCTCTTTTCACATACCAAGACTCGATTTCGGACCTCTTCTTTTTCCATTCTATCAAAGTAGTCCGTTCAACACCTAAATCTCTGGTAATTTTGTTTACATTTCCCCCTTTGTCCAGTCTCTTTAAGGCATCTAGTTTCATTGCTCTTGCCACGTTAGCTTTTTTTTTTTTTTTTTTTTCAAACGACGTTTTCACTTCACAGAATATCAAAAGTTCCCAAAAATATGTCAACACTTAAACGCCTGGATGTGAACTGAGGAACGATACTCGCAATGAACTGGTGTGAGTTTAGTTTGCAATAAGATGCTCTCACAAAACTTCAAACAAGTCTCCTAACGCTTCGCAACTATGGGAAGGAATGTGAGCTAGCGGCCAGCTGCTACCTGACTTTCTTCGTATCCTCGAAAGAAGCAAACAGCGTTGCCAAGTATTACAACATATCTTGAAATTTGTTAGGCAATTCCAAACATAAATGGCACAATGCGAAAACGGCAAACATTACAGAAAAAGAACACTTAAATCTTTAAACAGAACAGGAAGGGCATGCACGTAAGTAATAATTATATGTAGTACATGCAATATTTGCTCTGTTTGGCCTAGAGATATCTTAAAAAAGTTCCTAAAAAGTTGTCGAGTTATACAGAATGTCGAGATATTCGGAGTCGAGTTTGCTGGACTTTTCTGATATAAGGAACTTTGTCCAATTGTTAGTTTACATACGTTTCCGAGAAAGATAACCGAATTGTCGAAGAGTATTTATTTTATGAATCTCTTCATGATAGAGCAACCGCAAATAAAAATTTCAAAGTAATTGACAATTTTATGTCTGAGAATGATATTCCTTGGAATAAGTGCATTGCCGTATGCAGTGACGGAGCCCGCCCTTTAACATTCTGGTGTTATTTCTCAAGTAAGGAAAGTCGCACCTGAAACTAAATTTACTCACTGCTGCAATTTTTTTAAAAGTTGAGTTTTAAATTCAAGAACGTTTATGATTTTATGCCAAGAGATGGGCTGTGAACATGAAACGCTTTTGTTATATTCCGAAGTAAGGTGTAAAGATGTAAAGTTTAAAATCTTCTTTTTGAACTTCGATCAGAATTTCAAATTTTCTTCTGTGATTCAAAATTTGAATTGCAAAAATTTTTATTTACTGAATTATGGTTGGCGCGTTTAGCATATTTAGCTGATATTTTTGGAAATTTAAATGAGTTAGATTTAGGATTACAAGAACAAAGTGTTAATTTGTTTACCATTAGAGTAAAGTAAATGCAACGAAAAAACTCGAGCTAATACTCGAAGAACTGGATAATAACATTATAACGTTTTTACCACTTTTAGAAAGTTTTCTAACTGAAAATTATGACTCGGAATTATGAAAAGGAAAATTGGATTAGAAATCCATTTTTTTACAAATGTAATTGAAATTTTATCTCGTGAAGAAAAAGAACAATTGATAAAAATTTTCTGTAGTCGAACTCTAACTGAAGATTTTAAAAATAACACACTTGTTAACTTTGGGATGAACCAAAAAAAGGAATTTAAAGGCATTCAAATAAAGTTATTATATTTTTACTGCCTTTTTACACAACCCAAAATTAAATCCAATTAAAGGTGGATCTTAATTTACGGCGAAATCTAAGTAAAATAAGACTAGACATGTGTACACATAAGTAAGACACCATTTATAAATAAGACATAAGTACACATATGTACACTAAAGTAAGTAAGACACCTACATTTTAGAATTAAAGTATTATAACTTAAATTTTGATAATTAAAATGGTAACCAATTTTTAATCTAGTATTTTTTATGTATGCATCTTTAATACAAATAGCCAAATAGGTCGTGAAAATGGCAAAATATTCTTTTTTAATATTTCCGTTGTAAAATGTAGTGATAGTACTGAAGTTTTTCAATTTTTGTTTAGATGGTACGAGTTACTTAAAAGGTTGAGAACCGCTGATTTAGACCTTTCCTATAATTTTTCCTTTTCAGTTTCCTCCACCAGAAATGTAAATCAGTTGGAGAATATATACGCTGAGATTTTCGGATTGTAAGACAGAGCGTGTTTCTGCCTCTCGAAGCTGCTTTACTAGTATTCGCCAGCTCTGTTTAGAAGGCAATTCTTCGGCTTTGCGTTTTTGCAGCAGACTTTCAATTGTTGCGCCGGTGAGAAGTGCTGAAGAATTTAAAATCAGTTGTGTAGTCCTTGACTACTAGGCCTAGTTTCTTATTCGGAATTTGACTGTTACTTTGAGTTTCATCGGTACTAGTGGTGGTCGTTTTGTTAAGCACAAGAAGTGCCTTTTATGTTCCAGCTCTGATTTAATAAAAAGATTATTTTAACTTTCTTAAGTCTCTGTCGTTAACTTCAAACAAATTACAAGTCTGTTAGAAATTTGATGTTATTTTATGCTGCCAAAACAAGTCAAGCTTCACAAAATGATGCGCTTTGATTTGTTTCATAACACAACGTCTGTGTTAGTGCTTCAGCCGTCCTCATCGGTATAGTGGTTAATGCTCTTAGCTGCTCTGCGTGTGGGATCTAGTTCGAATCCCGGAGAAAGCATGGATGTTTGTGAGTGTATCGTGCCGGCGCGGTATGGAGCATTCAAAATGCACGGAGAGCCGAAAGTCTTCTGGCGTGGTTTGGTTGTAGTGGAAGACCGCAAGATCCATGGGTGTGTTTTCCATCAAAATGGTTGCAGTGTAACAGCTACTGTGGGGGGACTATACCTGCATGACCAATGGCGAGATTCTGGTGTCCCGCCCCCTCTTATATTTGTACCTGTATTAATGCTACAGCTTAAATTTTTTCATCAATAAGTGTTAAATGCCTCCCAATTCGTATTAGAGCGTTGTTTTCTCTTCTTCAATTTGATCACAAGGTTGTAATCCTTAAAACCGATTTTTATTGTCATGTCTAAGATTTGACTCTAAGACATGTTCGGCAAAATGCAGCGCATCAGAAGAAGCATAGTTTTCCTTGCTAATAATCTGCGCCTACATCTGTATCATTTATGTTACAACGGACGTTTATCATTCATTTCATAACGACTGTATTCTTTTATTGTTCTAACATTCATTTGATCATAGAGTTGAATTATGGCTGTGGTAAATCTGCAACTTCAATATGCCTAGGACAAACTATTCACGTCACGCACTGTGTCAGTTGACATTAAGAAGAAGGACATCGTTCTTCAGTTTGTTAACTCATTTCAAAAGCCCTTCATTAAAATCTACTGATATCATCCATACCTTTGATTTATATCTACAGTACATTGGTAAATTCTTTACTCTTTTAAAGCATCTGAGATTTTTTTTCCCTAATTACGATTGCTAAAACTTTTCTTTTATAAACACGCATACTGACGCACGTAGAGCTACTGTACTATCTTTCAGTATTTTACACTTGTAAAGTAATTGTTTATTTATCTAACAAGTTAATTTATGTCAAGTTTCTTTACTGCCATTCTCCCTTTTCGTTTTCCTGCCAGAATGCTAATTTCAGTACTCGTGTATTCAGATGAGGTAGAAAGAGATCGTATGTAAAGGGAGGTTTTGGATTGTTTAATCAGAGCGTGTTCCGCCTGCTGAAGGTCACGCTATACATTAGAAAAGCATAAATTTATAAAAATTTAAAGGAAAAAAATACTTGCTTAGACAGATTTCTTGGCTTGCCAGAAAAAGTAATCACAAGGTTGCAATAATTACAATAAAGAATTTCTCGTAACTCCACTTTTGAAAACAATCAAAATTAAACTATAGAAGAAAATGTACATTTAAAGTTACGAGAAATTAAATTAAAAAAAGTAGTAATAGCTTACGTATTCTCATTTCGCGGAGCACATAACAGTTGCAAAGACTGCACAACATTTAAAAATTAAACGTGAAATCTCAGAAGTACGCTCTGTGGTGATAAAAAGTTCAACCTTGTGACACCTTATTATACGAACAGATCGAGGACAATCGACTCCAAGAATATATTATTTCTTTTTTGAGGACAGAAGGATACATTTAGCAACAGCGATCGTAAAAGATGTAAATGGAATGAGATGCTCAGCGTTCACTCCCCCCCCGCAACGTTACTATGATTCTTCAGAAAATTCACATTGCATATTTTGGATGCAGGTGATAATCCTTCTCATTGTTACTTCCCACAAAGATGTTTTCAATTCCTCGCAAAGACGTATGCGTGTTTATTCCCTCTATCTGACCTAATATTCTTGCTTTTCTGCACGACACTACAGGTAGAGTTAAGCAAGCTGCTGAAATTTCACCAAGGGTTTCCTATGTTGTGGCCTAAACAGGTGGGGATGAGTATTTAAATTATTAAAGCGGAATAAGTAACTCATATCAAACCTTTCTTATGCGCATGGGAGACTAACATTCCATCATTCACTGCAGTTATACTGCAGGAACTTAAATAACTACTAAGTGATCATAAAATTAACATTTTGCTTCATTTTTTTTTTCTTATTCAGCTTCATAACTCATAACATGCTTCTTCCCGTTTTTAAAAGACAGACAATCCTTGTAAGTTTTCTAGATCATTCGAATTCAAAACATTTCGTTTTGATGAAAATAGAGGAGAAAACATTCTCAGTATTTTCGAATTTGAATGTAGGATCTAGAACACACTTATGTGTCACAAAAACTTCGTTTTCTCTCTGGGAACTTAGTGGCAATTTAGTCAGTAAATTTACCGCATTGAGTAACAAAAATTAATTACAGATTAATTAATTTATTTATTCAATTAGTAATCAAAGTCTTTTAAATCCCAGTAAAATAAGTTTTAGAATTTTATCACAATAATTGACCTTGTGAATGATTAATTTCTCTAAAACTAAATGAACATTTTCTCTTATCCAAGTTCTAGGGTTGTTGTTATTTTAATTAACCAGTTATTTATAATTTCAGCCTTTACTATGCCTTCTCCTTTCCGTTTCCTCACTAGAATGCAAATTTAATTGTAGAGTATTTAAGATGAGATTTTCAGATTGTAGACAGAGTTGGTTTCTATCTGTCGAGGTCACGCTACTGGGTTTAACCAGCTCTGTTTAGGCTGAAATTATTTGGCTTTCATTTTTGCTGCCGACATTTAAATTGCTACGCTAGAACAACTATTACGAAATTT